CTCCACGGCTGCCACCCCATTGTGTCGGGAATAGGGGACGGATTCGGGCTCTGCTTGCGCTGGAGAGCCATCTTGAGAGAGAGGAAGAAAATGGGGGGGGGAGATCAGGGCACTCCTCTGCGTGCGTGTGTGTGGGGGGAGAGTCCTCACTCCCTCGCCTGCCACCTGTGGGCCCTTCTCTTTTATTTCACCTGGCCTCCTTTCTCCTTCACGAGGGCCCGAGGTGGTGGGCCTCCACCCAGGGAGGGTCTCCCCAGGAACACGACAACCCCTCCCCCTCCTTGTAATTGCATCTGAGAAGGAAGAGTGCTGGGGAAACCAGAGGGCACCCCCCCCCCGATCACAGAGGGAGGGGCCAGACCCCAACCACCGCCCTGCCCTGGCCCCTCCTCTCTAGGGGAAATGCACGGGGATAAGCCAAAGGGGGGGGGAAGTTACCTGTGGAAGCATCTCTTCCCTCCTGTGGGGGTGGAGGCGCAGCTGGAGAGCTTGGGGGAGGCCCCCCTTCCCCGTCTCCCCCCTGGCCTAGGCAGCGGGCGGACGACGGGCCTGAGCTGGCAGGGGAGGGCTGCGGCTCCTCTGGGGGGGCAGCAAGAGGAGAGCCCCCTCCCGGGAGAAGAGGGGACCGGCTGGCTTCACGTTCACAGGCCTGGCCGCAGGCAGGGGGCTGGCCCTTGGTATGGCCTGTGGGGCCACCGGGGCGGAAGGTGGGGGCCTCTCAGCCTCCGTGGGGAGCAGAGCCGAGCCCAGGACGGGAGGGGGAGCCCCCGCCCCAGGTTTGGGGCCTATTGGGGGTGGGGGCTTAGGCCGACGGGGGCTAGGAAGAGGAGCCGCAGGGGGGGAGGCAGAGGGAAGGACCCCCCCTGTGGTCGGGCTGGGGGGAGGATCTGGGCGCCGGAAGATGTAGGCCGATTCTGTCAGGCTGCGCTGGTGGCGGAGGAAGAGCCCAGGACGGGAGGGGGAGCCCCCGCCCCAGGTTTGGGGCCTATTGGGGGTGGGGGCTTAGGCCGACGGGGGCTAGGAAGAGGAGCCGCAGGGGGGGAGGCAGAGGGAAGGACCCCCCCTGTGGTCGGGCTGGGGGGAGGATCTGGGCGCCGGAAGATGTAGGCCGATTCTGTCAGGCTGCGCTGGTGGCGGAGGAAGGGGCGACGCGGCAGTCCTGGTTGCAGGGAGGCGAGAGGGAGAAAAGAAGAACGCGGTGGGACATCTGGACGTGGGAAGGAATAAAGGAAGCCCCTCACCCCCCCCACCCCCGGATTCAGATGCCAGAGTGGCTACCTCTTCCTCACTCACAAGAAGTAGAACACATTGCAGCCAGAAAACGCCCGCCAGGTGTTAAGTGGCCAGATGGAAAGCGCCCCACCCCTGGCCGCTTCACCATTCATCTTACTGGGCTATAGACCTCAGAGCCCCCTCCCTCTAAGTGCCAAAGAAAGCCGCAAATGCCTGAGTCTTCCCTGAGTCTGCAGAGACGGAGAGGGCCCATGGGGGCCACCAGAAGCCCAGCTGCCAAAGCCCTCCGAAGGTCTCCACTCACCTGGCTGGCCCCCAGGGGACGAGGGGGGTCCCTGGCTGCCCGAAGCGGAGCCTGACCGCTCTCTCTGCCGGAAGAGGTCCCGAGGGCTCGGGGTGGGCTGGGAAGACAGCGTGGCTGCCCCCTGGAAGCAAGGAAAAGACCAGAGAGTGCCCGGCTTTGGGAGGGGGTGTGAGTGAGTGCATGGGGCGCGCTCCCTCCCAACAAAGCCACTGCCTCTCCTCCACCATCAAGGCCGGGGGAGATGGGATGGGAATGGGTGGCTGGGGCTGCAGGTCCCTCCACCAACCCAGGAACCCCCCCCCTCTGTGGGGAAGGGGTAAAAACTGGCCACCCTTGGAAGACAAAGGCCCGGGGGGGGGGAAGTGCTTCACCTTTCCTGTTGAGGAAGGAATCACCTGTTGGATTCCTGCCTCCCAGCAAAAGTGGCTGAACTCCACACAGACTCCCACCCAGTGCCACGCCGGACTCACCCGCCGGGCTGCCTCTTCGTGGCGGCGCTCCTCGGCCTCTCTCTGTGCTTGCTGCTTCCTAGCAGGGGGGGGGGGTCGAAGGGGATAGAAAGAGCAAAGGGGTTAACCACGGCAGGGCCAAGCTGCCCAGGGCAGCGGGGGGGGGAGGCACGCGGGCAGTTCGTTCCTTGGGCCTTTCGCCTGGCATAGCCTGGCAGGAACAGTTGCCTGCGGGCTGCCAGTGTTGTGGGCAGCCTTTCAGTGAGCCACCCACAAGGCCACCTAGGCCAGCAGTGTTGGCACGGCAGGGCAAGGGCCCTAACGGAGTTGTGGGCGGGCACCCTCCTCCCCTGGCCCTCTTCTTCTCGCTGCCACCAGAACAAGGGGCGGCCCCTGAGTCACAGGCAGGGCGGTGGGGAGACCATTAAGGGTGGTCGCCCAGGAGCAGAGGGGTCGGGGGGAGCCGAGGCCAATGCAGGACATCCCCGCTTCTGGTTCTCTGCCATCCCAGCAGCCGGAGATCCACGGTTCTTCCGCCGGTCCTCCTCCAGACAGGCTGGCAAGGGCAGGCCTGGAGCGGGGGGGGGGGGGGNACCTGTTTTGTGCAGGGCGAGCAAGCAGGACAAATTTGGAATTCTCTTGGGGTCTTCCTGCCCACTGCTCTGGCCCTCTCCAGGATGGGGTGCCCTGAACCTGGCAGAGAGGGACCCGTTGCTCCCTTGCCCTCCCCTCCTGTACACCAAGTGTCCCCCTCGGCGGCAGCAGAGAAAACCACATCTAGGGCTCAACCTGCCCCACGTGGGGCTGGGACAGCCTCAAAGTCGTGAGAGGGGTCATGAAATCCAAAGCAACTCCAGATCGAGAACCTTCAGGGGGCCAGGATTCTGAACCTGAGACCCTTCCTCTGCCATCCAGGAAGTGGTGGGTGGTGCCCCCAAGTCGGGCCAGGGAAAGGATCCTGCCCGAAGCTCTGGAGAGAGGTGGCTGCCCATCTGTGCCACAGAGACTGAGCAGGTGGCCCCAAGGCCTGGCTCAGGGAGGGCACTTCCTGGGGGGGGGGGTTTCTCCCCAGGGCACCTCTAAGCGAGGTCAGGGAGGGGCTGCTGCTGTTCCCCACACCGTGCCTTCTTCCCAGGGCTGGTCTTGCTTTCTGTTTTATTGCTGCTTGACCACACTATGGACTCCTACAGCTCCTCTCCAGCGCGCTCTTTCCCATCCCATATTTCTCCATCTAGTTTTCCCTGCCTCAATGTAGACCTTCACATTTTCTTCCCTGTTGAAGCTCATTTTGTTGTCTTTGGTCCCAGTTCTTTCGTCCGTTGAGGTCTTCCCAAATCCTGATTCTGTCTTCTGAATTGTTAGCCACGACCCCCCCTCTCAGTTTAGTGTCCTCGGTGACTGTAATGAAGATCCCCCCATAACCCACCCACCCAGTCCAAGTCTTTTATGTAAATATTGAACGATACCAGGGCGAGGACAAAGCAGTGGGGTGACCCACGGACCGCTGCCCTTCGGGGAGAGGAGAAGCTGCGGGCGAGCACTCTTTGGGGGTGGGCCTGTCAAGGGGAGCATCATTTTGGCCACATTTCACCAGCGTGGCCCCACGGAGCACATGAGCGGCCCCTGCCAAAGAGGAGGTGGGAAGCCCCCCCCTCACCTCTGCTCCTGGAGGAGCTGCTCTTTCTCCTGGATGCGCCTCTCCCTCTCCGCTGCTTCCCGCCGCTCCTCCTCCATGCGCTGCCGTTCCCAGCGCCGGCGCTCCTCCTGGGCCCTCCGGCGCTCCTCCTGGCGGCGCTCCTCCTCCTCCCTCTGTGGAGATCAGGGTGCACATCAGGGAAGGGGGCCTGCACACCTTCCGTCCAGCCCCACGGGGTGGGGTGGGTCCCTTCTTTGCAAGCTCTGTTGTCCACCCCCCCTTCTCCCCCCCCATCCTCCAGCACTTCCCCAGCCAGCCCTGGCCTGGCCAATTCCTGAGGCTGCAGGAGGGCGCCTCTCTCTTCTACGCCCGCACACGCTCACCTCGGCCTGAGCCCAGAAGGAGCTCCTCTTCGTGTGGAGAATCTCCAGGACAGGATTCGTCTTTTTATAGTTGGTGCCCTAAGGAGAAGAGGCCTCTGGTCAAAGCCAGGCAGTGACAGGTGCCTCCCAAAATTTAGGGGTGGGGGTGGGGGGGAAGAGATGCTCCTTCAGCTACCAGTTCAGCTTTTCAGGGGGAAGCCCCACACGCACACGCGCACACACCTGTGGCCAAAGGCCAGTCATACTGGGCAGGGAAAGTGGAGGGGGGGGCACTTTCCTGCAACGGGTCCACTTTTGGCCAGGTACTCCGCCTCGCTTTGCGGGTGGAAAAGGGGCACCAGAGGAGCAGCCGATTCAGCCACGAAGCAGGAGCCCTGGGGGCTGAACTCCCCACCTTTCATACAGCCTGTCTGTCCCCGAGTGTTTGTCTCCCCCCCCCCCCCGCATTCATGCCTACATGTACTATTATTTCAAAACCACCCCCTGCACAGAGTCCCACCAAGGAGACAGTCGCTCCAAAGCAGAGCTGGAGAACCAGATGCCCCCCAGATGTTGCCAGCTCATCGTTCCGACTGTCCCAGGCAAGGCTGATGCGAGATGGAGTCTGGAAGTATCTGGAGGGCCCCCTGGTCTCTGCTCAGGTCCTGGGGCTTGTGAAGGAGGAGGGCTTCAGCTTGGCTGGGACCAGCCTCAGTGGGCACAGACAGGCTGCTTGCTCGCCCGTCAGGGCCTTCCTTCTTACCACCAGCTCCTGCGAGTCACCCAGGGGGGGCTTCTTCGGGGCAGCACCTCCTGCCAGAGCAAGAGTGGACAGCATGCCTTTCAGCCCGTCCTGGGTCACCTCCTCAGCCTGGCTAGCCTTCACTACCAGGTGGGCCTCCTGCAGAGAGAGAGGGAAGATGAAATGCCACAGTGCGCTCGCTCACTCACTCGCACGCACACACCCTGCCCTGGCACCAGAGCCACTCTGCTCCCATCCTGCCAGCTTGGTCCCCACAGGACCCCCACCCCCCACCGTGGCTGCTCACCCAGAGCCTGGGTCTGCCATTGGCAGAGCACCTGGAGGGAGGGCCCACCTGCCATCCAGGTGTTCCCTGCTTGTTGGACTCCCAACACCTCTTCACCTGGAGGCTGACTGGCCTACTTCCCACTCGGTGGAGGGGCTGAGAGTTCTCCCACTTCTCCCGTGGGAAAGGGGCCCTTGACCCACGTGAGGAATGCTTGGAGGGGACCCTCATGAGCACCCCCACTGAACTCCAGATCACAGGGTGGCACCCCAAAAGCTGTGCTGGGAGTCCTGGGGGGGGAGGAGGAGGAGGCTGGCTGTCCTCCCTCCTGAATCCTCTCAGTCAGACACCCTCCCCTCCCCGGCCACTTTTCTGACGGGGAAGGATCTGTCAAGAGGGAT